TCTTCTGTCTTTAAGGGAGTTATACCGTTATAAGTTATAAGGCATACCTATCATATTCCTATGCTGCTGTGCTTTCGGGTCACACGCCGTCTAGTTTGGTATAGTCCTGTAGTTTTGGCGAGCTCAATGTCTTCGATGATTTTTCCCAAATCTCCGATGCTTGGGTTCTCGTTTAGTCGCTAGTGCCGCGGAAGAGCGAGACAAAGCAAGCTTTGTCAAACGTAATGTGGGTGTGGACGGGGCTGTGGATGGAAGGAGGAAGGAAAGGGGCGCGAGACGGGAGGCGCGTGGGTGTGGACGGGGCTGGGGAAGGAAGGGAGGGGAGCGGGAAGGAAGGTGCATGGAAGGAAAGGGGCGCGAGACGGGGTGGGGGAGGAAGGGAGGGGAGCGAGACTGGAGGTGCATGGGTGTGGACAAGGCTGTGGATGGAAAAGGGGGGGAGCGAGACGGAAGATGGAGGGGAGCGAGACGGGACGGGAGGTGCATGGTGGACGGAGCTGTGGAAGGAAGAGGGAGGGGCGCGAGACGGGAGGTGCATGCGGTGTGTACGGGGCCGTGGAGGGAAGGTGCTAAGTGGAACGAATCATGGAGGGGCCAATGCTGCTCCATGCTTCGCGGCAGAACGTAGTTGTGCGAGTGGAGCGATCTTGCGCGGCTGATATGCTAATATGGTTGCACCACAAGCATCATTGCAGGCTGCTCCGGGTCAGTTCACAAGTAGAACGAAGCATGGGTGCGGGTAGGTCTGCTCCATGCTTTGCGGAAGCACGTTCTGACGCTGACGCGAGAGGAGCTGTGTTGCAGAGCTTATAGATGGTCTTGGGTGTCCAAAATGTGCACAATGCATGCGCCAAACAGTCAAGTCATGGCCGAATCCGCAGGATTGTTGCGTGCCAGAACCGCAATCCTTGAAATTTGATGGTTGGGACGAAGCATGGAGGGGGCTGCTGCTGCTCCATGCTTCCTGGAACGGTTGTCAGAAGCCATGTTGCAATGGGGTTGGAGACTAGCTGCAGAGATTGAAAACAGCCACTTGATGTATATATACTGTGTATATAATACATCCAGCCTCCAACCCGACGACAAATCCTCTCCTCCTGGGATATCTCCGCCATATCGACACCCTGATCATGCCAACGATGCACGCCAGCGGAAATCTATGCCAAAAATTTAAACACTAGACGACGAATGACCCGAAAGCATTTTACCGCGTGTGCTTTTCCCAAAAAAGACTCCAATGCTTGGGTTCTCGTTTAGTTTAGTCGTTAGTGGGGGGGTAGGGTGAGACGAGGCAAGCATTTTCGTGGACGGAAGATGGGTGTGGACGGGGCTATGGATGGAGATGGGAGAGTGGACGGGCGTGGACGGGGCTGTGGAAGGAAGATGGATGCTAAGTAGAACGAAGCATGGGGGGGCTAATGCTACTCCATGCCTCGCGGAAGAACGTTTTTGCGCGAGTGGAACTGTCTGGCGCGGCCTATATGACGGTCTTGGGTGTGCAGAATGTGTGCAATGTATGCCGAAAGACAGCCGGCGAAGTCATTGCAGAAACGGCAGGATGGTTGCATGCCAGAACCGCAATGCTTGAAAATTTAATGGTTGGAACGAAGCATGGAGGGAGCTGATGCTGCTCCACGCTTCCTGGAAGGGTTGTTGGAAGCCATGTTGCAATCGTGTTATGACCGTTTTGGAGGGCTTTCAAAACTGACCAAGGGGTGGACGGGGGTGTATATGGCAAACGGGGGTGGACGGATGCGCACCAGAACCGCGATGCTTGAAATATCATGGTTGCCATGAAGCCTGGAGGGGTCTGATGCTTCGTTTTGGCCTGCTAATGTGTGTTTGTGTATTTTTCCTGGGTTTGCGCTTCTTTTTGCTTGTGGGTCCGCGGGCTCACCTTGTGTGCCAAAGTTTTGTAAGTTGCCATTGACCTGTCTTGGTTTTAAGCAAATGGATGTGCTTAAAACAAAGGGGTATCGCACACTCTGTGTTGACTTGCCGTCAATCAACTGCATCAGTACTGTAATAGACCTGTTTCAAGGATTATTATTGGCATGTTCCAAAAATTCCGCCTGTGCGCATTCTCTGTGTGGGATGTGTCAAAAGCACGCACTCGAAAACAAGAAGGACTCAGGTAGAGGCCATGCAATCCGCTCAAGACCTTCACTCAGGGCCTCTGCTCGCAAGGCAAACCAATACAAATCCCCTTGAACATAATGAATCATCTAGTGCTCAGCCGGGAAATTGTGACACAAACTGCTCTGGGCCATAAATGCTGTATTTCTGTGTGCGTTGACATCCTGCCAATGATTTCTCTCTGCTCTTTGCCCCTGAGACTTGGACTGCACAACTGCCACCGTCACTGCCGCTGGCAGTGTCTGTTTCCGGTTCGTGCGAAGGCGTGCGAACGCGCGGGAAGCTCAAGTCCAATCTGAATGAAAGAAAGGGTGAAACAGCATTCTCGAAGCAAACACAAACGTTCGGCTGCTCCTTCATCAGAATCATCTGCCACCTGTCCAGGTGGAGGTGCCCTATGTCCAGGTGCGAAAACACAAGCAGTCCACATGAATCTTTAGAGCCCCCAAGCACCCCCTTGCAACAGAAACAACACTTGCAAGAAGGAAGTAGCTCAAACCCGTCCTTTAGGGTCAGGGTATCCTCATTCTAACAAACACCCATACTCAAAAGGTCTTTGCAGTCTCAAGTTCCTCCAAGTCATCAAACAACTCACCAACGCTTCTGATCCTCGCCTCTTCTTTGGTCTTCAGGTCCCTGATCGCGTCTCTCTTAGCCTGCTAAGACGCGAAGCATCACCCTTGCACGGCTTTTGGACTGGCTGGCTGGCATGAAGCCTAAATAACTGGTGCCACCCAGGTCATGCAACTCCTCTTCGTTGTGGGCCAAAGAGCCGGTTCCCCCATCTTCCCCAAGCCCCAAGCGCCGGTCCTCACTGCCGATTGGATTTTGCCTAGCGATGCAAGAAGCGCAAACCTTCGGTTTCTTCTTGTTACAGTATCCATCGGCACGCCGTCTGGGCACCATTATGAACAAACCAAAAACGCACATCTATAAGACCTGCAGCGATATCAGTCCTGCAACATCCTGCAACGCAATCTTCGATCCCACAATCTCGAGACCCAAAAAGTGTATATATTTTTTTTGAAGGCTTCTTGCAATGCTTCAAACCTTTAAAACATCCATACGAACTCTCTTTGTCTCACATGTCTAGAAGGCCTTGTAGTGTGGCAGGGCCGTTTGACTGGCTTTGGGCCAGGCGTAAGGTCCTTCCCCAGCCATCCAGCAACCACAGCTGGACCATTCAGGCGTAGAGTTCAATCAACTCGTTTGAAATCATGACCTGCCATTACGTTCCAACACGTTCCAATATGTTCCAGCAGGTGCTGTGGTCCAAGCACTGAAGTCCTCCACCCAGCGGTGGGCCACACTTTCCCTTGGAAGACGAGAGCGAGAGCGAGACGAGCTGGTCCTCGCTTGCATATGGGGCCCTGGGGTTCCTCTCCACTCGACCGTTCTGTTGTTTCACTGTCAAACCGTAGGACAAAAATGGACAAAGAACAACAGGGCCAAACTCGAGACATGACTGAAGTTGAAGCATGCGCCAACTCTCCTGATAGAGCAATATGTTTCTTTCATGTTTGCGGACTGCAAATAGCAGCATGTTGTGTCGGTGTCAAAAAGCTCACTTTGGGACACTGTGAATGCATGTGAATGCGCCATTGGAACAGCTTTTGGTAGCTGCACAAAAGCTGTAGATGTTTCAAACATGCCTCAAATGAGCGAGCTAAAATCAGGTTCAGTTCATTCCTTTGTTGTTTCATGTTGTTTCCATCAGAAGAACAGGCTCGTTCTGTGGCTCTGTGGTAGTAGTACTTATATTCAAGGTTTAGACCAAATGGAAGAATCCTGAAATTGAACGAGAAGCATGCTGTGCTCCTTTTGATCTCGTCTCTGCACACTCTGACTCGTTTCTGACTATCTTCCAATATGGATCAGGTTTCCCAGTCCAAGGTTCCATGCTGACTGCATCAAGCAAATGTTGATTGTAAAGACATTTTTTGAGGGATTGTTGGAATGCCAGTCTGGCATTTTGCTCAGTCAGGTCGCTAAAATGATTGGTTTCACAGGCAATATATGATGGGTCGGGTGGAAGATAGCCCTTGGAACATTAAACTGCAGTTGTGGTGCTTGCTGTGCCTGAAGATTCACCACTAATTACATTGAACAGCTCTCCCTTCTCTGCTTTGGATTTGTTCTGTTGAGCACACGCCCGAAGAGTTGAATCCTTTAGAGCGAGCTGCCCACCAATTCATCCCCAGGAGACCGGTGGTGCACACAGAACTGTCAAATCGGTGGTGCACCACCGGTCTCACTGATCGGTGGCGCACTGATCTCATCAGGTCTTGACCATGGAAATCCCAAGGAAACCCGTCAGGCAGCCATACGAATCACTTCAATACGCTTCCTATGTCTATGTTCGTTTCATCGAAAATAGACTCTTGTGTCTCCCAACGGTTTTCAGGTTTGAGGAACAAGGTGACCAAACTGAGTCGTCCGGAACGGCGCACCGATCTCGGGAACCCGGACGGAGTGCAGGCCACGTCGCGTTTCGGCATCGAGGCGTGCGCGAGGAACACGGAGATGTTTGGAATTGGAGTGAATAAGGTTGCTGGGATTAATTGGAAAGCTTAATTGCAATTACGTCCATTCCCCAAAACATGTCCTCCCAACTTGTTTTTTCCTTTGTTCTCATGTGTCTTAGCCACACCGACTTTGTCTTTCTTCCATGACAATCTTTAGGGCCATGGCTCACACTGGCAACGCAAACGGTTTGAAACCTTAGTGCGATTTCGTGTGCCAATCTATCCCACTTGACAAACAATGACAACCATGAAATAGATATTCGTTGTATTTCATTGTTATTCAGTTGTTCATGATTAGACTATAATTAATGCCATAATCATGTCTGTAGGCTCCTTTTTAAGCCACGCTCCGCCACAAAAAGAGATCACGGCCTGGCTAGGTGCGTCATCCAATAAACACTCAGAATGACTCAGTATGACTGTAAGACTTCGCAAAAAAGCATGCTAATTGTGGCCCAACCAAAGCAACACATCGGTTCCGATGTGACGACCCACTTGAGGCGTTCTCCGGACGATGTGATGACACGGGAGACGAAAACGTGAGACGAGTCGAAAGCGCCTGCCTATGTGCGCATGTTTTGGTGCATTAAAACAAGTGCTAATCGCAAACATCGGCGTCACAATGTTTAAATTGAACACAGCAAGTCACGATGTTGGAGATGTTTGTTTTGATCTCCCCGATCAAGGTGTTGTGGTTTCATGGATTTTGCATCTCGCATTTCATGTTGAAAAAGTCCTTCAAACATCCTGCTGGCCGCAGAAATGGACGTGGTGCTTTTTACATTGTAACTCACAGTGCATTTGCATGGCTTCAAAAAGCCGTATGTCTGATAGTCAGCGGTTTTTTGCCCAAACACGAGTCCGAAGGTCTACCACCCAAGCTTGTGTTTGCTTGCACACTCGATCTCAAGTTTGCCACAGTGCCTGTTTGAATGCATCACATGGCCCCACGCATTGCTTCGCATGCCTTCGCCCGAAAAAATCGCGAGAGCTCTCAAGTCGCTTTCGTATCCAGGTCCCTGAGGTAGTGAGTTGCAAGAAGGTTCCTGTGATCGATTGTATCTTTGGAATTAGCCTATGTTATTAAACATGAGATGAGTCCACATCACTTGCCACGAATGTGAACACTTTGGCCACAACCCCCCCAACCCCCGCACACACCCACGCCACCTCATGTGCGTCATAATCATATTAGGATCATTTTCCGTTGTCCACATATATAATGTGTGTAACCATATACTCCCTCCACTAAAAGAGGAGTTACAGTATATAATTTCCGGATTTATCCCGTGATCCGACGTTGAATTTTCATACTGGATTACACCCTGGAAGACTAACATGGACCCTGAAAACCACTGGTTGGTGGAGGAAAACACTCTTCCAGGGGGCCATTGTCAGGGTCTATGCTAGTTTTCGGGAGTGTATGTAACGACTATATATATATATATTTGTTTTTTTCCCAGATATTGGAAATTATATAATTGCAAAAACAATAATTGCCTCAGGGTCACCCCTGAGTCTTTTAGCTAAGGCAGCCAGTATGTAATCATCCTAGTCATCATAATCATCTTGCATTGTCTTTCTACCTCAAATCACAACATCGAATCTATAAACATCTAAAACGTTCTTGAGTGGACATGGTTGCATCTAGGATTGCTTAAAAATGCTTAAAGTCTCCGGAGAGCCCCCATCTGCCTCACTGGAGCTAACCTCCCAGAGTCGTGTTCACATAGAGCACCCACAAGACACCAGTGACAAGCAATATGACTGACTCAAATTACAGATGCGAGAGACAAACGCAGAAAGCGATGTAGGGACACAAGTGGGCATGCTTGCATAGAACAAACAGCTATCCTTTAGGCTTTCAAAACTTCTATCATCTCTTCCGCGGGTTGCTTATGGCACATGGTTTTGCAATTGAAGGTCCTTTGACAATCGATGGAAGTGGTCGTACAATGTCGTACATAGAAAAGACAGTGCTTCTTAGAATCATGAGATTGATTTCCCGGATTCCATTAGTATAGTCCTCCCACGCACCTTTGCACACCCTAATGCCCTAATCAAATAGAAAATGGTGTGGAGCTGTGCCTCAATTTGTGATCTTGCTTGACCCTAAAACAAGACCTTGAAGCTGCCGTTCGCCTGTGAGGACGTGTTGACCGTTGTTTCATCCTCAAGTCAATTCGTGGATCCCATCAGTCGCTTCGTGGACCCGCGGACACCCTGAAGACACCCGGAGCCTGGCTGGACACGTTCCACTTCGTGGTCGTGGTCGTCACTTCACGTACATGGAGGGCCACCACTTGTGAGCGGCACATCCTGCAAAGCATTCGTGAAGGGATTGCACAGTTTCTGCCAACAAGTCGAACGTCATTGATTGACAGCACCGCACATGTTTGCCAAAATGAACTCAGTCATGTTGTTTTGAACTGCAAAACAGTAACTCTTGATCATATGCTTCGAGGTATCGTTCCAATGTCACCTCCTATCCCATACCAACAACTTAGACATCAAATCCCTAACAACTCCAAATACTAATGAATGTGTCGGTCCCAGGGACAGCTAGTAATACGTGAAATTCCTGAAAACCACTCACATGTCTTTACATTCACAATGAGTGCAAGGTTGGCGCGAGGCTGTTTTGCAAGTGCCCAGTGTGGTGTGGTCAGTGCGCCGAGCCTCTTTCGTCGCCCTGAGGCGCTTCAGTGCTGTGACCGGCACTTGGAAGCTTGGCATGTTTCACAAACAGGCTGTTTTCACAAAGGCAAGCGCATGGTCTGTAGCCACACCATCTATGCTCTGAAGACTTTAAAACACATCACTTCACCCTTGCATATCTGAGATCCCGCACATTGACATGGCTTGGCGCTCGATCTCACCCAATGCTGTCAGAAGAGCCTTGTCACCAGCAGTGGGTCAGTTGCGTTGCTACCTAAAATGACGAAGAAGCAGTGATACGCAGTGTCTCAAGTCGCCTTTCCAAAGGGCATGCCCCATATCTCTTACAACTCAGGGACTAATGATCACCGGAGACAATCTCAATCATGCTCTTTATCATGAGTGTGTACTCTATAGCATGATTCATATAGTCATACTACATATTGATTCATTTTAATGTGTAAGAACAACGCATCCAGCTTGTGAGGTGGGGAGAACACCAAGCAAACCCTTCTTCGCAAAACCCTTCAGCCGCAAGTGCACCTTTCTGTGAAACTTCCTTGTGAACATCGCACGGCTGTCACACCAACACGGTGAAAATTCGGCTGTTGCTCTGATCCTCGAAAGCATTCATATAGAAATCGCAATCAAAGTGGAACCAGGCGCAAAGCAACCAATGAAAATAGTCGGCTTCAGACTGTGTTTTGAGAATGGCATTTTGGATGCCACCAGCCACCAGATTCGAAAACTGCCAATGAACATGTGCAACGTGAACACTATGTTGCTTTTGGCTCAACGAAGATAGTTTGTTTTCTGCATAGCTTTCACATGCAGTGCAGCTTTCACACACAAAAACAAACCAAACGTATTGAAGGCTGCAATTGCACTCAAGCGGCAATACTTTCAAACGACATGCCACTCTCAAAAGAACTGTGCAAAATTGCATGCATTAATTACATAAATCTCCACTATCTGGGCCCAATTGGCTTTGCCAAGTGACTTGCTCGTCTCCTCTACTTCCGAGAGGAAGGACACGAATTGTTGACGACACTCTGAATATTGAAAAACACACCACGACACGGAACAGCCAAGGATCCAATCTTGTCTCAGTGCCAATGATCCATAGTGTCTACAATCCATTGTACAAACATGAAACCATCAAATGAATGCATACATATATGAATGTATTATTTCCCACTAGTAGCAAGGACGCTATTAGGTGCAGGCCATCGCTATTAGGTTGGAGGCCATCGCTACTAGGAACAAGAAGCTACTAGTTAAAATCTTTCTTTGTTCCGTTCTTGCGTTCCTTTCCACACTGATCTCTCCCACCTCCAGGTACAATGGTGTTGGCATGGATGGTGTGATTGCCGGCCCAAGGGGCATCCATCCTTCGCTGGTCTCCCCGAGCTGCAAACGTTAGCAAGTGCCAAATTCTGGCGACATTAACACCTCTCCCATCACTTTGCGCTGGAAGAGCCTCCCTGAGAAGATTCCTCCAATGGTCCAACCTGCTGGCTATGCAAAGGTTATTGCGGACAGTTGGTTGGAGAATGATTCCTTTCAGGGATGAAAAAATCAACACCCTCTCAAACAACGAAGATCGGCTCCAAACCTGTTTCGCATACACCGTAAACTAAAGGGAGTACAAAGTACACTGAAGTTCCATTTAATTGTGATACAGTGTTTTTGCAAGGGGGCCACCATAGTATTGACATGTATTGACGAAGAATGACTTGCAATGACTGGACCCAACAAGTTTGTGATCAAACACAAGGTTGTCATATTACCTTCAATAGCAAACGCCCAAGGAGACTTGGAGCGCTTTGTTGACCAGCTGTCAGCAACATGAAGTTGAAACTGCATCAAAATCATTCAACCTCTTATAGACTACTGTTGCAACATCCAGCCTCAGTCACTGTATGCACCACTGAAGCCAGCGCCGCTATAGCCAGCCCCGCTTGTGCCCGCCCCACTTGTGCCAGTTACACTTTGGGCAGCACCGCTCACTCCAGCACTCGCGCCAGATCTATCTTTACTTTTGTGTTCCTTCCTGCAAGGAAGAACTAAGAACGTGTTACTGAAAGACCAACAAAATCAATATATATATATAAGTTTAAGTATTCACATTGGTTTGCATGGCATGATAACCACATGTGCTTGCAATGTGTGTTCAATGCGTTTGGTGGGTCATGACCTGCAACACCCTCGTTCCAAGATTTATGGACAAACATCTTAGTTTGTAACCCGTTGGCCACCACAAACTAAGCTCTACTCGTGACCAGCACCGGCTCATACCGGAGGGCATGACGACAATACCTTCATGTCTACATTCGCCTACATTGATCTCCTACTGAATTTCCTTTTTCTGACGTGAGCATTGTGGAATTGTCTCCCAAGATCCTCATCTTTGACAAAGTCGAATGGAGAAGGCGCTCCAGGGCTGCTAGCTTCTCCTGGCCAATATGCAGTCAACAGAATCGTGGATCAACCTAAGAGCGTACAGCCGTACAGTACACCCTGCGCGTGCGTGCTTCGTGCTGTGGCTAGCAAAGCAATTCCGTAATCAAACAGTTTTTGCGAAAACAAGCGACCACCATTGATTCAGTTTGATGCGAGCAAGAAAAACACACACAGCCAAATTGTGCTGGATTCTGTTCTATCGAAGCGGCACCATCCGCGCGCACCACATGCAAAAAGCACTCGCGTGCTTGAGAAACCCAAACCGCAGGTTGCTCAAAAGAGGGAACACACAAATACAAAACCTCTTGAACTAAATACGCGTGAGTAGTTATTTGATACGTGATTCTCATAAATATGACATAAATGTTCATAATTACCTGGATCCTGGATCCTCGAAACGGCACAAATAATTTGCTTTTCAAGAAAAAATGCCGTTGCGGCGTCTCTTTCCAAAGACAGCATTTTTTGTGTTGTGACCAGCGGAAACCGGCAGAAACCAAAAAGAAACGGCGTTTTAGGCTTCAAAACGGCATCTTTTTTAGGCGTCCAAACGGTGTCTTCCCCCGTCCATGGATTTTGTGGACATGTTTGCAACCCCTAAACCATCCTAGAACGGCAAATGTTTGATTATGGTGTCTTTTCGCTGAAAAATGCATCCGGCAAATATTAGTGTCGATTCAAGATCCAGGTATATTGCATACGAAGCTTGACCGCGCTGTCCTCCTCTTCATCCACTTGACTCCTGCTATTGTCCGCCGGCCATTCCAAATCCTGGGAGCAACTGCCACCAAAGCGCAAGATGCGATCCGACGCCACGACCGCCAGATTCTGAGGCTCCATGGCCTGACGAGAGGGTCCAGTGAGAGGGTCCAGAAGCGACTTGTTGAAGGGAGAAATTCAGAGAATACTTCAAGGACTTCTTTGTGAAAAGGCCGCTCTGCCAGCCATGGCCTCCAACCTAAGAGAGATGGCCTCCAAATGCCTCCAATCTACTAATAGCGATAAATAGCGATAATACTCCAACCTTGAATAATCTTGAATACTCATCATACTTACTATATCATACTCCATAGGATCCCTTAAGATGCTGGGCGGCGGAGCGCCCATCTTGCCAGCCTGAATGCCACCTGCCATGCCAACATCTCCTTCGTTGAATTCCAAAGGTGTCTTGAAACCCAACGAATTCACAAAGTTCTCCCATCGCTCTGGCTTGGTGTACACCAAGGTTTGAACCTGAGAAGCGCCAGCAACGCGACGTGCAAGCGAACGGTCCGAAAGGTAGGAAGGGTTGCAAAATGGCTCCACCTTTGTGAACTCTGCTACCATTTCGGTGAGCCAATGTGGAAACGAAGGATGACAGGGATTGATGCTTCACGGATGCCACATGTCCACTTCTTGAAGGCTGGGGCTTGACGAATGCACTTCTCATCATACAGCTCTCGACTCATCAAACTTCCAATCCAAATAATCCAAACCACACCATTCAAACAAACTCACTAAAAGCATCTAAAATGGATGGTCCCTTAGGATACCCCCATCGATACCCCCAGGAATACTTGTCTTTGTTTATATTCTGGCAGAGTGTAACCTCAGCAGTTCAACATATTCCAAGGCCTGAGGCAGTTCTGGAATAATTAACTGGATTTAATATTCCAGAGAAGTTTGAGTTCATGATATATGATATCAAAACACATTCCTGGTATGTCTTCACCCATAATAATGCAAAAACCGCGGTCGAGAGCCTTCGATGGACGTCGAGATATGTCGAGATCGATCACTGGTTAGTCCAGTCGACTCTTCATCAAAATGATTCCAGGTATATCTCCAGCTCGATGTCTCTATTGATAGTCAATATTTCAATATTCCAGGTATGTGGAAACCCTTGACAAAAAGTTCTCTGTCTCTGCCATTGATTGACAAATCAGCAACATCCACAAACAAAATCCGGGTATGTTGCAACGGGGGTATCATATACCCAAGGCTAAGAGTATTCTGGCAAACACATTCCAGAAACAACTAAAAAAACTATTCCAGTACCTGACATCCCTACCCCCCATTCTAAAAGCTGTGTTGAAACTCTTCCCATACGCAGTACAGAAGCGTGGGTTGGTCAGTCGCCAACAGGTTGTTGATTTATGTTGATTTCACTCATCATTTCGGAGACAAACTCCTCCCCCCAAACAAGTGAGCTTCACATGTATACAGCATCTGTAAAGCGAACCAGCATTCCAACCACGCAGCGTTGACGGAAGCTCTCTTGAGCTTGGCATATCCCAGCATATTCTGGTAGATGTACACGTATGAACAATTCAGCTGGGCGATCAGCAAATTGAGGAGCAAAATTGCAGAAGCTGTGATGAAGCCGAAGACAGCTGTCAGAAGCAAAGGATCCTGATGATGCTTTGCTGGGCAGCAAAACAAGTAGTCAACACGTGATTATTCTCAAATGCTAGGTCGACAAAAAGAGTCTGCCAAAGCAACCAAGGCTCCATGTAAAGATCCCGAAAGTCATCTTCGAAAAGACGCAGAGTAATGCCCGATAGGCAGATCATGGTGTCACTGAACTGTTTCATATCTTCATAATCTGCGCGCAGAACAAACATCGATTTTGCAGTGTGGTGTTTGGAGGTCGCAAAAACAGAGTCAGAAAAGTCTGGATGAAGAGACAAGTCACGGTGCTCCAACACGGTGATCGCGCTTGCAAAGGTGGTGAGAAGAAACCTTGGGAAATCTGATGGCAGTGAGGCCAGGACCAATGAGACTCATGGAAAATCACA